AGGTTAGAGTGGGGGTTGGGTGGGGGTTAGGGTTCAACTTAATATAAGGCATATCCTTAATCTTTAGAAAATTTGACAATTAAGGATAATCCCTAATACTGCGCGCGAGGATATGCAGAATAGTACTGATAGTTTCGAATACATATTTTGAACGAAACAATACTTAAAATGTACAAATTTTAATATATTCTTTTCCAAAATACACATAGTAATAATTACTGTATAATATGTACAACAAAGTGCATTAATTTTAAAAACGATTTATAATAAAGTAAATTTACATTGCTACGTTTCATTCTCCATACTTATATAAACGTAATAACACGTGTTTGAAGTTGCGAAGAAGTAAACAGGGACGCCGGAACTGGGGGGACAGGGGGGGCGGCTGCCCCCCTTGCCCTTTGCTAGGGGGCAGGGGGGGGCAGAAGTGCCCTTTTAGTTGTAAAATACTACGTGATAAATCACATTTCCAACGATGCTTTTTGTACGAAAATCATGAGATTCAGGCAATTTATAGTTTATATTTGACTTTTGGTGTGTCCGGAAAAAATTTTTAACCCCCAAAATGGTACACTGACCGAAATTTTTTTTTTGGGGGGGGAGGTCGCCCAAAATTTTCGATTGAAAAAAAGTTTTCCGGTAGATTTTGAAGTTTTGCTCTATAGAGGTGCCCTTGGTGTGCGTCCGCCCCCCTTTGCCTTATTATCGTTCCGGCGTCCCTGGAAGTAAACATGAATCGGAGTTGTTCGAAATTACCAGAACATTCGAAAACGCCAGTGTATAAGTAACTCGAAGTATAACTCGAACTCCAATCCAACTCGATGTTTAGGGATTCCCAAAGATTAAAGAGACGCAAGATTAAAAAACGCCAGGGCCAACGAAGGACCCAGTGTACGGCTTTAGAGTGGACAAATAAAGCAGGACGTCCCGGGTTGAACTACAGGGTGTATAAAAAAAAAGGTAATCGAACTTCAGCGCGCTATTGTATCTGAATTACTCTGCGTATGAACGAGATTTTTTCACATTCGGAAAGATCATGCTTTTAGCTGTTGAATGATATCTTTTTCATGCCAAATGGATAAAAAATGAGCAAATACCAATCCGATAAAAAATGTTAGTCAGAATCGCATATTTTCACCGTTGAGAGTTGGGTCTAAAACCATTGAAAATGAACCCCCTTTGGTACTTAAGTTGACGAATTTCACTTCATTAAACTACGCACATGTTCATAATTAATTATTAAGTAGGAATAAATCTTAGCTAAGCTACGACACGTTTGTGATTAATTGCCTTTTCTTTTGTTATGCATTGTTTGAATTAGGCACAGAAGTGAAAATATGCGATTTTGACTAACATTTTTGATCAGTCTCGTACATGCTTATTTTTTCTCCACTTGGTATGAAAAGCATGTCATTCAATAGCTAAAAGCCTGATCTTTTCGAATATGAAAACCAATTGTTCATACGCCGAGTGGTTCACGTATAATAGCGCGCTGAAGTTCGATTACCTTTTTTTTTTATACACCCTGTACAGGGTGTCTCAAAAAAAAACAAAATCATTGAAATAACGTATTGTTCGAATTTCAATGCCGTAACACAAAGGATTTTGACAGGGTGATTAATTTGTTTTAAAAAATTAAAATATCTTTGTAAAGTGAACGTTTGTTTGCTCATGGGAATTTAAAAATACTTCGTGTAGCATTTTTAAATTCCCATGAGCAAACAAACGTTCACTTTACAAAGATATTTTAATTTTTTAAAACAAATTAATCACCCTGTCAAAATCCTTTGTGTTACGGCATTGAAATTCGAACAATACGTTATTTCAATGATTTTGTTTTTTTTTGAGACACCCTGTATAACACAAGAATGACAAGATCGGGCGTTACACACTAACCGACAACATGGTATTTGAAAATACATGCTCAACCAAGCAACTATACAATCGAGAGGCGTCAGAGGACATAGTTACCGCTAGTTCGGCCACCGAATTTTTGTCGGGAGTTGGTTGAGCGGGTGCCGATCGGTGCTACAAGCCTACAACGCCAGTGCTCAGGCGGAACTTGATCAGCAACTTGATCGGGTTGCTGGTGTGGGGGCGTTTGGAAACTGTACACCATGTACTTCCGGCCATGAAATATATTAAATAACTGACGAACAGAGGATTATCTCCGTTTGTGTTTGTCGAACAACAGCTGTCAACACCGCACAAACTGTTTTCAAACTAAGCTAGCAAGAAGCGAGCACTATGCCCAAACTCGGTATTTCTGGTATCCAGCATGCAGTGCAATGCATTCATTTATTAGCATTACATTAACGTGGTTATTTTCACATATTCAATCTTCGCATATCATTAAGACTATGAAAAGCATGATCTGTTGCTATGGCTATAAGCTCCGCCACTGATTAACTCGGCAAGCTGATTGAATTCCCTACTATTTCGTAATCGTGCCAAACTCAGCTTTTGGACGCTATTTTCGATTCAAATATTTAGCTGTAATATAATATTCAATTGTCTGGTGGGTATAATGGTATATTATTCGAAATTTGCTTGGCAAAATACGATTTTGGACTTCTTACTAAAATGAGCTGAAGGGAAGCCATTACTGAATTTTGTTTGCAGAAGCCAGCCAACACCGGGTGAAGAATAGGGCTAGCACTTCAAGTTGCCTCATGTAAACACATCATTAAACAATGAAAATATACTCACCTAAACATAATTTACAGAAATTATGCAAGCAAGGCAGGCTTCTTGGTTCTGTTAAAGTTTGCAAACACATCGAACATGTGAGCAGATCTTTGATTTCATCAACAGGAACTCTGTCTGACGAGGCACTTGCCATTTCAATCAAAACTTTCTTACTAATCAGATAACATATTTATGTCTAATTCTTTCCAACGAAATGATCGCACAATTAAAATGTTGCAACAAATGCTCTCAAATGTGACTGAATACAGATCAGCGAATCTTCCAAAGTGAAAAGGGTTTGGTTCGTTGACAATTGCGAAATTCCCGGAAATGAAATTCTTGGAACCCGGTCAAGGGGTCAAGGACCTCACTACATCAGCACGTATAGGCAAAATAAAAATGTTGGATATCAGACATTGAAATTGAAGTTTAAAATTGAATAATTGAACAATTAGTTATTGAAAAATTGAACACATGTTTCAGTAACTTGACATTCGCTATATAGAGTTTATACTGATATAATTTAGAGAAATGCAGATGAGATATGCAGGATTCAACTACCGGAAAAATACAAGTAAATCTTCGACGTTTCGAGCGAAGGCCTCGCGTCGGGAAGTAACAAAGTGTAAAGAAAAAACATTTAAATCACATATATACTAAGGAAAAAGGGATAGAAAAACTATAAGGGATTAGATAATGTGAGAATTCAAGTTAGGCAAGGACAGATAGGCTAAACATAAGAAAAACGTTCAGTAATACCATTGGTATGATGTAAATGAGGCGCATTTCGTGTTTTTTTTGCGGCTATCATTGCTACCAGAAATGCGGAGACAGAGGGCTCGAATTTTCGTGTCTAAAACACTGTGATTGCCACTATTAAAATATATGCTGGTTGGCATCGTTACCAATGACAGCGCTAGCTTGTATGTCAAACCTTGTCCTCAAACGTCTTCCAGTATCTCCGATATAAAGCATGCTACATTTACTGCACGAGATGCAGTCATGCAGGTGATGAGATGGTAATACCCTTGCTGATAATACCCTGTGGTACTTCTGTTTACCGTGGTTCGTTCCATTTTCTCCTAACTTGTTCGTAAAATTCTCCACATTTTAGCTATCATTTTTAATTTTTAATCGGTGTCACTCAAATATTTTTTCTTCCTATACAAATCATGCATGTTTTGCCAACTGGGATTCACTGAATATTTTGCGGACTACCTGATAACTGGTGGTGTTGAAGGTGTTCTACCCACCCCCTATAAGTAATAGTATGGTTTGGAGTGCAATCTTTGTCTGCGCCTGAGCTTTTGGAATCCTCGTTACTAGAAACATTACGACACGTTTATAAAGACCTGTCCAAGTTCCTCCATAAGACTGACAGACAGAGCTGACAGACTAATACTATTTAAGATGTATTTGAGTCCGAACTGTTTCATATTCAGTCTATTATATAAACTATAACATAATTATAGTTACTTTTTTGTTTTATAATATGTTTTCAACATTAAAAAATTGGGGTCGCCCCTTGTCACATATCTTTCGTGTTTTAGGTCGCCGCCAATTCAGACAAAAATAGTTGAAGCCGCCCCCCTTTTCTCCCCCACCGCCTCCCCCCCCCCCCATTATTAATGACCACACTGTAAATTTCAGGGAGTTAATTTAACTCCAGTGGTATTATTCTGAACCTAATTTTACTCCACATTTGGAGTTAATTGAGGTACAGTATAACTCCACCAGAGTTAAGTTAACTCCCTGAAATTAACAGTGCAGTCCCTTATAGACCAAACCAGAAGCAGTTGCAAAAAATGCAACCATATAGGCCCTCTGGCTGGAATCAAATCCACTTTTCGAGCTTTAACCATAAGTTCATACAGAGGACTTTGTGCTGCATTTTTCGCACTCGTTCCTGGTCAGGTCTCAAAATGTATGTATACTCATTTGGATTACAAACCCTAACATTCTAATATTAATTCCACCAAGTGAAGTGCAAGAAACCAAATCATTGAAGTCCACCTTATCGCAACCCGCACACCCGATTACCTATATATATATATATATATATATATATATATATATATATATATATATATATATATATATATATATATATATATATACATGAACTTACGGTTACAGCTCAACAGCTGGCCTCTGTAGGTCAGTTGGTTAGAGCGCTGTACCGGAATCGTAGGGTCGTAGCTTCAATTCCTACCAGAGGACCTTGTGCTGCATTTTACACGTTCCTGGTGAGGTCTCAAAATGTATGTATACTCACTTGGATTACAAACCCTAACATTCTAGTGCATACTACGTGATGCCAGTGTAAGGTATATGGGTAAATATCAGGAATTCAGGCATCTCAGTCGATATTAAATGTTGAATGGTTTTTTGTAGATGGAAATCTCGAAAACTCTTCAACATGTATAGTGCAGGGTGTATCAAGAAAGGTAAAACAATTTCGGCATGTTATCGTGCGTTATATATAGATACCAAGTTTATAGATTTACTTTTCGCACACTGATAAAGATAGGCTCTTAGCTGCCAAAAGACACCGTTTTTGTGTCATTGCGATATAAAATGGTTAGATGCGACCCGATTTAAAGTGTTCGGTCGAAAATTAAATGTCCTTCCAATTTTTGAACATTTCGTACATATAATACTTTTTGTTTGTGGAAACACCACGTAAATTTATTACTGCAAAGCTTTCGATCAGGTAAGCTCGGATCTTCATCAGTGCTAATAATATGGTAATAATACTAAATAAATAAATAAATAAAGGTAATAATAATAATAACATATTATTAGCACTAATGTCGTAATGAAGACCCGGCCTTACGGATCGAAAGCTTCGAAATGATCGCATATAAAATCTTGCTGCAAATTGGCAAATACTCTGGGCGAATACAAAGTGAAACTGTGAAAGTGTTGGATTCCTTGAAAATTGCAAAATTCGAAGATTTCGCTGTAGACCGCGATCAGCCTGGGATGACCAGACATAAGCATCGTATAAGAAGCATCGTAAAATTGATGTAGTAAAATAAAATGGTCATTTCCAGTAAATTTAATACTCTCAAAATTAAAAAGGTACTCCATCTAGTATTATAGTAAATATTTTGGGTTTTTAAGATGATCTCATTTTCAGTTATTTCACACTTCAATTAAGCGGCAACGCTCCCAAATGATCCGATTTTATTGTTTTACCCTGTCTAACTGGCGATGGTTTACTCGTCGAGGTCACGTCTTGCGCATTAATATGGGTTAACATTAACGCCAGGGCATATAAATTTGTAAAGTGATACATTGTCTGCCATGTAATAGGCAATTCCAGCTTTTAGTTTATGCATACAGGGCCGGAGATGGGAAGTAAGGTATCATATTGCTGATCAGTTCTGAAAAAATAAAAATGGCGGCCGCGTAAACACGGAGTGATAGCTAATTATACTTGTAAATATTGAAATATTTCGGTTGTTTCGGCAGTTTGTATTGAAATTTTTCAGCATAATCAGCAACATGACACCTCACTTCCCGTCACCTCCTGCGCATTATGGCCAAGCATAATAGTTTTTGACATTTCGATTATTCATTTATTTCGTCAATTACAACATCAATAAGAATCATTATAATTTAAAGTAATCTGACATAAAGGTCTAGGAGCCTACTAGAAACCACTGGGTTTTTGAAATTTGATTCCTTGTAAACTATTTACACGATCTGTACAGCATAAATCAGTTCAAAACAATAGTTTATAATCAGGGCCGCCGCAAGGGGTTGGGGGCCCCAAAATCTGAAAGAGGCCCCCAAAGCAACGAAGGCCTCTATAAAATTTCTGGATACAAGATTGCTACTGAGAATATAAATCCTAGCTGCGTTAGTGTCAGACAAAAATGTAATAAATTGTGATATATTGTAAAAATTCTCCCCTTTTACAATTATGACATCATATATAACGAGTCCTTGCATGAAAAGTTTTGGCCCGGGCTCAGCGTTGAACCTCTCGGCGGCCATGTTCATAATACATTGAATATGTACATATATAAGAATTACTGAGAAAGCTTACAAGTCATTGATTACGACTATATCATGATCAAGGAAAAAAGGTACATATAATACAGGATTTTGGACACCTCACTCGATACTAAATGTTGAAGGGTTTTTGTAGATGGAAATCTCGAGTGTAAATTTTATACGTTTATACACCAAACCAGGAGCAGCTGCAAAAAATGCAACTATATATATATAGACCCTCTGGCAGGAATCAAACCTGCGGCCCTGCGATTCCGGTGCAGTACTCAAACCAACTGAGCTGCAGAATCCACTTGTCGAGTTTTAACCACAAGTTCATGTATACAGTACATACTACGTGATGCCATGCAGTGTAAGTTATACCTTCAGGCATCTCAGTCGCCGACATTAAATGTTGAATGGTTTTTTGTAGATGGAAATCTAGAAAACCCTTCAACATGTATAGTGCAGGGTGTATCAAAAAAGCTAAAACAATTTCTGCCCGTTATCGTGCATTATAGATACTAAGTTTACAGATTTACTTTTCGCTCACTAATAAAGATAGGTTTTTAGCTGCCAAATGACACCGTTTTTGTGTCATTGTAATATAAAATGGTCAGATCCGATCCGATTTAAAGTAGTCGGTCGAAAATTAAATCGGTTCTTCCAATTTTCGAACATTTACCTAAATGTTGATTACTTGTATTAACCAAAATAACAATATATCGATAATTGACTACCACCGGCTGTAGCAATCAGTTTTTCACATTTTCTTCGAGGCCTTTCATTTGTTGACTCCAGTAACTGCTACTGGTGAGGCTAACGACCAATTTTAATTCCTAAAGTGCATACGACATGAATTTTTTTACTTTCTTAAATGAAAGAACACTTTAAGCTGTAGTGCAACTTATTTTTCTTATTATTGTTTTTATGGTTTGTTTCCGAGATATTTCAATTTGTTTGGTATGTAAATGAGTGTGAATAGGCTATGTCCGCTAATTTATGACGTCATGTTGGTTGCAAGCTCTTCAAAATGATTGAATATCACGGCTATCATCCAAGATAATAATTTCAAACTTCACTGACTGGTAAATGTGATAAAAGACAGGAGAAAAACGTGAACTGATTGAACTGATATCTACAGTTTTTAGAATTAATAGATTTATAACCAGGACATATTAACACTCACTTACATACCAAACAAATTGAAATATCTCGGCAACAAATCATGAAAACAAGAAACTGAAAAATAAGTTACACTAGCTTAAAGAGTTCTTTCATTTAAGAAAATAAAAAAATTCATGTCATATGCACTTTAAGACCTACATGACTTAAAATATTTATATATTAATTCTTAATACTGTCTAAAATTGCTTGCTGAAACCGGTCGTAATCAATTTAATGTTATTTTTCGTTGAAGTGAGTAAACAAAGGCACTTTTCAGTTGAAGACTTCAATTTCTGTCGTTAAGAATTCGTACTGACCAGCAAGAAGGTTCTTTGCTTGTTCACTGTTATCGACATAACCAGGGGGAGGTTGATATGTGTCTCCAACATTGCTATACGATTGACTAACTTGAGGATTGTTAGAAATACACAGATCAAAAGTGTTATGTCCACCAAAGACTGGTCCATAAGCAGAGTTACAGTAGATTGCATACTGCTCCTGACCTTGCTTGATGTTGGCAATAAATGGAGCAAGGTTGTCTTTGTTCCGCAGAGAGAATAAAAATGTCGCTTTGGAAAGTTTATAATTACCACCTTAAAATTGAACAAAATTAATGATTAAATTTTAATAAAATATTTAATAGTTTCTACAATATTTACCTTTGGACATGATCGGGAGGGACTGGACGAATTCTGAACCATACTCTCAATTTCACGACTATCACCTTATGCGTTCACATCGGACGCATGCAACTGCACGACGAATTCAAATACAGCTAACCCTAGAAATTCTCGTGTAAACAAATGAAACTGGACGAATTTGCGTACGGTACCGCGAATTCGTCCGACCTTGTGCGGAACATATAGTCTTAAATACCATTAAACCATGAGCTTGCAGGACAAATATATAGCTAATAGCTCTCATAAATGATGCAAATATTAATATATAAATCTTATCTTACATACTTGAATCCCAGTGTTGGTCATTGTATCCGCCAAAGATACAATCATTGGCTTTCACCAAAACCACTGTCGGTCCTTTATTGTCACAATGTTTGTGAAAATCTTGGGAACTCCAACCATCTCTGGAAGCTCTGTAACAAAGATTCCATTTACACTTCTCTCCCAATCATTTCTGTAGTTGTTTCATGAAGCCAATCTTTCCTTTCAAAATGCCAGAGTGAGAGTACTTTTTTAGATTGTAACCTGCAGGATCACCACCTACAATGAATTCATTTTATGTTATAATAAACTTCAATGCAGAAAAGACCTTTACAAGATAGTATCTGTAATCAACCTAAAGAAAATAATCATTTCAACGTAATATACACTCTATAATGCTGTGCAATAAAATGTTGATCACACACTACTTTCCTTGTTATACCATTAAGCCAGAATGTACAACAGTGTACGCTATACAGATTAGTTTGTTATTTTAGCTTGTCAGGCTGCATTCACCCTATAACGCTACGGTTTCCGTTAAAAATTCATTACGTTTCCAGAGGTTTCTTAGTATTGTGTTTACACTATAACGGAGTGGTTCGTCGTAGCGTTCCAGGACCACTACGCTTGGCATTCCGGATACAAATTAATACGCTACGATAAATTTGCAATAGCGTCACAGTGTAAACGTGGCCTTAGTGTCTAACGCAGGTCGAATTTACTCGTCAACGGAAAGTGTTGGGCACTGGTGGGTTAACATGCAGGACTACTTTCTAATGTACAATTACCTGTTATGCCACCATATAGCCTCGGCAGGCAACCCGGTGGGCAAAGGCAGAATAACACTTATAAAGAAATGAAGGGGGTAACAGTGGTCCCGTCAGGATTTTATTTTGAGGAGCCAATTTAATACCAAGAGGGATCAGGGGCATGTTCCTCCGGAAAAAGGGGGGTGGGGTTCCATTAAATATTGCATAAATATCGCTGTTGTTTTCACCACCGAAATGCCTGTGATGGAGGCTAGCCACCATATTAATAATAGTGCCCCTACTCGGTTTTTACGCTCCCAAAATATGAACTTTCTTACTCTAATCTGATCGACTGTGTAAAGTTACATGATTTTACTGATAATATATGGTACTGACAGTAATATACAATAAATTCCACATATACCTTCTACATGTCCCAACTTATCAACAATTTCATCAACATTGATATTACCAATGTCGTCAGGTACATACTGAATACTACCATCATTCACTGTGGCCAGATTCTCTGGTTGTTTCTTTCTCCTCTTCTCAATATTTTCATCAATTAATTTCTGTGATGAGAGAATTTCTTCAATATTTCCACTCTTTAGGAGATTTCTTGGCAAAGACACTGAAGCTTGGACTTTATCAAGATAATCTTTAATCTCATCGTGTTGTTTGCTCAGTTGACTGTGTAACTCACCATAAACTTGGTCCACATCCTCATTCATTTTCTTTGCTCGCTCATCAAGTTTTTCTGCGACAATCTTCAAGATATTTTCCTTTTGATCTTTGATTTGCTCTTTAGCAGTTTTAGCATTCTTTTCAAGGGACTCCATCACCTCACAAATCTTGTTTAACGCTTCCTTTCCTTCAGATAATTTCTCATCAAGTGTTGTGCAGCTTGATTGCAATGCTTCTTTTTGCTTCTGTGCAATCTCGCTCACTGCCACAAGCGAATGGTTTTGTTTCCTGTGATTTGAAACCAGGCAATATATGCAGCAAAGTTCCTTGCATGTTTCACAATATATTTTGAGTAATTCATCTTCGTGTTTCATGCAATAGAGCTTGCTTTTCATCTTCAATTGACTTTCAGGGTTGCTCAGTTCCTCTACAGATAACACATTATGATTTTTGTTGGAAGGCCAAATATCATGCGACTCTGAGCATTTCTTACACATAAACAATTCGCACGATGCGCAGTGATTAATGGCAGGACCTTGGCAGTGTGAACATGCAGCAGATGCTTTCGCTTTCCGTTGAATCGCGATAATTTGCAGCATATTCTTGATAAAATAATTACTTGCCAGTTCAGCAACATCTTGGTTTGATTTGAGCGTAAACTCTGAGCGACACGTAGGACATGGAAGTGTCTCGATGTTGTTGTCAGCATCACGAAGACGTTCAACATACTTTCCTAAACAACAACAACGGACGAAGGTACATTACACTTAAAACATTTACAAAAATAACAATAAAAAAAATAACAATAACAGGTATATTACGACCATCAGAATGGTACAAACTGATTATTGTCTAATTTAGTAATTATGATAATTCTAAATAAATTTCTTTTTAGATTGTTTTCAAAGAATGACTTGCTGTCTTGATGCATGAATAATCAACAAAGACTAGCAGACCTGATAAAATACATCAATAAAATTGCATACGTTTTGTCCTTGAAATCTAACATTAAACTTTCATGGTCTATTATTCTCTTTTCTCGGTAGATTATGAGCCATTGTTTGATTGCCCAAGTACCTAACATGTGTTATTCATCGGTAAAAGGAATGAACTAAATCCCGGAGACTGGAATTAGTGATATTTAAATTAGTAATATTTTAATAATTAGTGGAATTAGTAATAAATTTTAAATTTCACAATATCGTACAATTTAAGATATCAAGAGACTTGAATAAAACTTTCTATTTTCAATAAAAGTTTGTTAGAGCAGAAGCAAGTATGTACTTTAATAATTCAAAATTAATATTTTGTTACAAATATCTTTATGAAAATATCTGCAATGTAAGTGAAGAACAAGGATGGAGATCATTAAGTACTAGATACAACATGAGCAGCCGATCTGTATCTGATATGACGAGTTCATTGGCGAAGTAATTTTAAAAATAAACATTGTCTAAGCCGAGAAAATCAAAGCTGAAGTTTATGTAAATCAGGACAAATCTTTATCCGATTTACAAACATTGATTAAACATTCATTTCTTTTGTATTTTCCTCGTGAATTATTAATGAATTTTTTAATATAAAAACCTGCCTTGTTACGTGTAAATATGGCAAAAACACAATGTGTAGATAACAAATGCAATTCTGCAGTCCTGGTTGCCCAATACAGGTGTATGTACCACAAAATACCACACAAATTTACATGTTCCTTATACTTTGTCAAATGCATATAACATATAGCCTGTTAAATATTTTTAGTATAGTTTTTCATTATTTTTTTCTTCCTGTCTTGGGGCTATATTTGGCAGATTCTATTATTTTTTAAATCGGACATTCTGTGGATAAAATCCTAATGTACCACAGAATACCAGTGCGGCAATAAGTAAGGAACGGCTTATCAAACTGTATGAGGATTTGGTGTGTCATGTTGTGTGATAACACTGCACAGATATTGCTAACTTAATTTCGTGGAAGGTAAATACTAAAATCACTACAGAATACTGGTGGTTTTTACCACAATATATTAGGTATTACCAATAATTTTGAAAAATTGAGTTTTTTATAGTAAATTTGATTATTCAGTGAGATTCCTATCACTTAGACAAACTGTTGATGAATGTAAATCATGTTGGTTTGCGAACTTATTTTCAAACTTTCTGATTTTACGGGCATTAAGCAGAAAAAAAGTACAAAAAATAAGGAATTTTATTTGTTCTTTATCGCGATTATTTTTAAGAATTTTATGAAAATATCCATTTTTCGTTTTTATATGACCATTGAGACTAAAACTAATATATATTCACAAAAATAAAGTATATAGCATGTTTCTTTCAAATTTTAAAAGAGAAATAAAATAAACTGGTATTCTGTAGTACTGTGATATTCTGTGGTATACATACACCTGTAACGGGAGATGTCACTCACTGCATAGTAATAATTATCTACTAGATGTCTAAATTACGTTTTCATCATATTTAACAAGGCAGGTACAGTTTTTGAATATGTCAGTGTAGAATACATATTTGACATGCCTAACCACTGGACTGCCTATATAAATATACAGTAAGATTGGATACTAACGCTACATGTCATGCCGATGGTGGTGGGTGTCACAGCTAGGATACAGACGTTACATTATTAATGGTAATATTGATCACTACTAACAGTAAAATGTGTTTGACAAGTAAATTGTAACCACTTAGCAATGCCACTAATCGAAAAGCAAAATATTTCACGAGCAAGGGCTGGGGCAGAGGAAAGGTGGGAAAATTAATGGGGAGGGAAAGCAAAGAGTGAAGTTAAGCATGAAAGGCAAGCCAAAGTTTACTGGAGGTTTGAAGGGGTGAGCTCAATTAATTTTCAAGCCTTCCCCTCAATTTGTAAATCTCTGGGCTTAGCATGTTAGAGACTCGCAGCAAGTTGCTGGCAAGCCCTGTTGCCTCATCTCAGAAGAAGCCCTGACACTGATAGGTCCTGATATATACATCATTTAGTGAGGCTGATCGATCGATCTTGGGTCCCAGGCATGAAATCATGGGGTTCATAATTGAACTGTTGTCCTGTGTCATTACTACATTTAGCAACGGTACGAAAATTTATAGGTCCAATCGCCTGAGTTAACGAGTTAGTTATTAGACAGAGGTTTGCATTAATGTATTTCTAGTATTTAACATTAATTCTTACAGGCATGAGTTGGTCATTACGATTACGATTAGCATTTTTATTGCTGCCGAAGGCAGCACCCTATTCTTGACACGCGGTGGTTTCTCCAGAGTCCACTCGACCCAGTCTTTGGCGCGATCTATGTGTTGTCGAGATCTCGATTTGTCTTTCTGTCTGTTAAGATGATTTCCGGGAGGAATAATTAAGCTTCAGGAAGTTTTTTAAACCAGGGGGGCGGTCAAACTTTATTTTGTATTGTGCATTTCTGCAAGCGGTTTTAAACTTTTAATACGAGATCATACGAGTTTATATGTTGGATTGCAAACGAATATCAAAGAATAAATCAGGTAAGAATGGTTTTATTTCTTTTTGGTGATATATATGAAGGCATTTAGATGTGCTGTTTTATAGCATTCGATAGAGAGGTATTGAAACATATGATTCATATGTCAATAATGACAGCTGTCTTATTTTATATACAATTGAAGGAGCTTGAAAATGTACTTTGAGTTTATTTGTTTGTGTGGCGATGTACCAAGGCGATGAGTTTTATATAGTGTTCATTTTAGATGTTTATAGCAATGGTGCTTTCAGCAAGTTTTAAAAACAAACGCGGACTCAGACCTGCCAACCCTTAAGTAGCAGAAATAGTGAGTTGCTATCTAAAAAGTCGTGAGATTGACTGAAAAATCGTGAAAAATTTTCAGGTTTGCTCATTAATATGACCAGGGTTAACTTTAACAACACTAGAAAATAATCAATAGATATTCAATTTTATGATAGTATGCATTTATATTTTGTTAATATAACTGTAAATGCAATTAAGGCTCATTAAAAATGGGCTGTTTTTTCTTTATGGCTTTAGTAGTTTCCACTGTACAAAAGCTACGAGTAATATTAGGACTAGCAGGACAATAACCTTAGCAGGACACGCCTTTTACTTTGTAACACAAACATCACGCATACAAAATTCTGGCGTTGTACATTGCGCATTAATTATTAATACACTAATAAAGTGTGATGTTTCCTTGGAAGAGTGTGCCTTATTGTAACTAGATGTTGCGCTATTCTATTATTTCCTAAGTTCCGAAAATCGTGAGATTTGGGACTTAATCGTGAGATCGTGAGAAAGCATCAAAAATCGTGAGTCTCACGATTAAATCGTGACACTTGACAGGTCTGCGGACTGTTAATACTTTTGCACGTGTACGTAATCAGGCTTCCTAGCAACCCAGTGTGGGGATTGTTGTCTGTATATATTAACTTACCAGGCTACCAGCAGTTACTTGCAAATAGCATGTCAACTGACTTTTGCACAAGGCCGGGTATCATGCATGCCTGATGGCCTGTTTATATCTCTGAGACATCTCCAGATGCGGTACAGTCCGTATGTAAACAAAGGCTTTGTTTACATTTCGGTATTCAAAATATATAATTTTATTCGACAACTATTTATATTTTCATGATTCTAGAGTATAATAGATTATAAAGACACAACAATCAAGCTTTGCAAGAACATAAAACGAAATAAACCCTAAATAAACTGTTTGTATAAAAAGACTAAGAGGGCTCCTCCTTTGACTTTGTGCACATGTAATATGAAATAATCCTACCGACCTATACTAGCTCATACATTCACCTGGCTGTGTCATGCAATACATTTCCGGGTATGCTATTCTTGGGTTTCACTAACGCATTATGCAGTGAATCTAATGGGGAGTCAACCTCACATGTATCGATGCTTATGCTGTACTGGAGTGAGAAAATGATACGAAATTCCATGTATTGCCACCAAAGTACCAAACACAAGGCTAATACATAAAACAAACAATCGTATCACTCTGATAACTGTGTTTTGTTTTACAGTTGACTCCCCGTCACTTCTGTGACGTCATATGAAACCCAAGAATATTTTTTGATAATGCTCACAATTTCTTTCTTATATAGTTTTGCAGTTCTGACTGAGTACAATCTCTGAGTGAGTACAATCTCTGACTGAGTACAATGAATGGTGTCATCTGAAGCTGACATATTAATTAAACAAAAATGTTAACAAATAGATTTTGTCTCCCTATCAGATTGTTCGGTTGATTTGCATTAGGCCTAGGGGTAGCCTTGAAGGTGCCATGTAAATAATAATTGGGACAAAAACTGATTTAGTATTTCTACACTGTGTCTAAAAAAAAGTGAACCCTTTCAAATTAGCTATATTGTAGTAACTTAATTGACAGCAATCTAATTGCATTGAATTAATAGTTGGGTAAGAACACAAGCAATACTGTATTTCTTTTAAATTTTCTAATTTTTATTTCTTTGACTTTTGTCCCATGAGTAGAAGACCTTGTGTTCTTACCCAATCATTAATTCAAAGCAATTAGAGCTGTCAAATTTGAAAGGATTTGCTTTTTTTTTTAGACACACTGTATATATGATATTATACAGTATTCAGTGGCTAGGTAGCCATGGCAACTGGTCAT